TCCGTCGCAGGGCTGCGTCGGCGCGGCTTCGGCACTGCTGGGCGGCGATGTAGAGGCGCCGTCCGGGCTTGGCGTCCGTGTGGTCGTGGGCGTCATCGGCGTCGTCGGCGTTGCCGTCGGCAGCTCGTTCAGGATGAGTCCGCGCTGCACCAGGTACTACGCCTTGAGCTTCTCGTCGTTGCTCTCGAGCATGTCCGCCCCGCTCATTAGAAAAGCCATGTCGGTGTTCCTCTTCTTCGCGGCGACGTTCGTCCGGAGCAGGTCGAGCTTGATGGCGTTGTTCTTCATAAGCGACGACCACCGCGCCTCGGTCTTCTCTTCGCGTAGGACGGCCCGGGCCTGGGCGTCGGCGAGGCAATGCTCGATGGACTCCTGCACTCGCGTGGTTGCCGCGTCGGCGCTTTTCCCCTTCTTTGCCAACTTGTGGCCGTCCGGCCGTCCCTCTGACGCGCCCGGAGTCGTCGCGTCTGGCTTGTATGTCTCCTTGGCCTTGTCGAGGGCACGCCGGACTTCCGTCCACTTCTCGCACTTGTCAATGCGCTTGTAGACGTGGAGGTGCTTGAAGTCGGCGTCTTGGTTGTCGCCCCGATACATGGCGAACATACGCAGCAGCTGCGCGGAGAGAAAAACAGTTGGCGGGCGGCGGGCGTAGGGGACGAAGATATGCGGGCGAACGGCGTGCGTACCTGATCCTCAATGCTGGCACCGCTCTCCGGGCGAGCCGCGACCTCCTCGACGATTCCATGCCATTTGTTGCACGCCAACTGGATACGCCCCCAATGGTTCGCCATCGCCTTGGAGCCGCGCTGCATGTACACGCCTTTGAAGTAGGGGTCGACGAGCTTCCGCTCGTCGAACTCGGTCTTGATGCGGTCCCAGTACGTGTCCAAGCTCTGGTTCGCGCCGGTGGTCGGGTCGAGGCAGACGACTTTCCATGCTTCGGCGAGGCATTCCTCCTCCTTGGACGTCCACTTGATGCGCGGTTCGCCTGACCTAGCCGCCCGCTTCTTCTTCTTCTGGCGCCCCTTCGTCGGAACAGGAGCCGGTTCCTCTTCCTCCTCCTCCTCCTCCTCCTCCTCCTCCTCCTCCTCGTCCTCCTCCTCCTCGGGTTCCTGCGCGTCGTCGCCGTAGACGTAGCCGAGCTCGGCCTCCATGTCGCCGTTGAGGTCCACTACCTCGTCCTTGGTGGCGAACCCGGGAGACTTGGCGGCCGCGGTCGATCCTGTCGCGATGATGTCGTCCATGTCGGCTCCCGTGTCGTCGGTGTCGCCGAGGTGCGAGAAGGGTAGCGGTCCGCGGTAGAGATGGGGCGTCGGTGTGGACGCGTAGGAGGCGGGCGACGAGTAGTTGTATGAAGGGTACTGCACGCCGACGAAGGCGGGCGAGGGCGTGCGCGTAGCGGGGTGACCATGAGGGAAGGTCACGTTTGGGTTGAACCCGCCGTGCGCGTCGCCATCGGCGTAGCCGGGCGACGATGAACCCCATGGAGATCCGGCGCCTTGCTGTCCCCAGGGCACGTACTGGGCGTGGCTGACGACGGGTGGATTCATCCCCGCCTGGTCGACCGATGAGGAAGACGCCGCCGCGCGCGCCGCGTTGTCGCGGGCCTTCTTGGCTATGGCCCTGTTCCGCCTGTCGGCGGTGACCGCTTCGCGCCGCTGAACTTCCACCCTCCACTCGGCGTTCGACAGGCCCGGTGGCGTCGATGGCGGCGCCCTCGGCTTCCTCTGCTTCGGCTGGACCACGGCGCCAGTCGCGGTTGCCGCCGCGCGCGGCATGGCGTACTTCTTCGGCGGCATGGCGTGCTTCTTCGCGGCGAGCGGGAGGGGGTTTGGCGGGAGAAAGGGATAGAATGGCGGGAGGAAGGCGAGCGAGCGGGAGAGATGCGAGGGAAAAGCGTCAAGAAATGGCGGGAAAAGACCCTCGGGTCGCTTCCAGGGTGGGCCCACGCGCCTTTTTCGCTTGCGCCGGCTCCCCAAGCGCCCCCCAGGGCGCCGGGTTCGGCCTGGGTCCGCCGGCACCAGTTTTGGCCCGAGCCGGCGAAAAACGGGCTTCTGGGGGCGCGACTGGGGCCTTTTTTTAGCGCCGGCGCGGCAAAATCACTTGGGGAGGGCCTGTTGGGGGCGCGGCTGGAGATGCCCTGAGCTTTGGTCGGAGCTACCTTAGCTGCAATCATGCACTATTTTGTATTTTTGTTATGAAATCTGGGTTGGGGAGAGGCAATCAAAAGGATTGGAACATGAAACATCAAAATGTTGCAGGAGTAAGTCAAGCTGTATGATCATGTCTTTCTCTATGAAGCAAGTAGAGCCGTAGCCAGGTTAGTTCTTTATTTAGTTCTCCAAAACTTCTACTAGTACTTAATTAGCTGCTAGGATGTGTGTGGATGGTGTTTGGGGCTTAATCAGTGGTCGAAGCAACTGTACTTTGACTGTAGTCATGCAAGGTTTTGCCGTTTTGATATGAATTTGGATTGGAGAGAGGCAATTAAGAAAGCTGGAACTTGAAACTGTTTGTAGGAGCAAGTCAATCCATACGATCCTGTCTTTCTCTATGCTTCTCTGAACTTACTGTAACAACATATACTGGAGTTATTCTGCAAATAGAGCTACTTTAGGTACCAAACCAGATGAGTATAGCTGTTACATCCTCTGCAAATAGTATCACCATTGGTCAGTGTGGATGTTTCTCTTGCAGTCTTGCTTAGGTCCACGTTTTCAGACAACAACAGAAAATATATCCTAGAGTTATTTGGGTAAGGGGTAAAGGGTAATTTTGTTTGGAGATTTAGTATATGTAGTTAAAATTACCAAAAGTTTGACAGCAAAGCAACAAGACACAGTCTGAGCTTGTGTACTTTTCCTCTGTCCGAACTGAAGAAGGTGGTCTGTATTCGTGTACTTTACATCTATCTGAAAAAGGTGAAACCTGTACTCTGTCTTCAAGTCCAAACTGAATCAACTCTAACTGGTTAACGAGCACAGCAACTGAAACATGGAACTGTTCAAAAAAAACGCAGAGCATTCACATAATTAACTCTGACTAATCGCTCGGAAGAAGCATTCCATTAACTGTGTGGTATCTCTGGCAATTGTTCATGACTAAAATCATGGCATTTCTCAGTATCATTACTAAATGTACATTCAGAGAAAATTAAAGAAGTGTTTGTCCTAGCGAGCAAGCTAGCCAGCTAGGCCATTCTTGTCATGACTTCCTGCAGGATGAGCTTGGTATCAGCGTAGCAGGACCCGATGTCGGCGTCGTCCTTGGTGGTGACGGCGGCCTGCAGCCTCTCGAAGCTGTCGAAGAGGCGGTTGGCGAGGCCGAGGAGCGGCGGCTTGGCGTCGGGGTCGGCGGCGGTGATGAGCTTGTCGAAGTCGTAGTAGATGAAGGTGGCCTTGAGGCGGAGGTACTTGTTGACGTAGTTGGAGGCCTCCTTGCCGAGCAGGTCCTCCAGCGCCAGCAGGTCGAAGGCGGAGCTGCGTATCCGGTAGGCGTGCGCCGCGAAGCTCGGCCCGATGTCGGCCATGTAGATGCCGTTCTTCACGAAGGACCGCGTCCCCGACTCGCCATTGTTGATCTCCTCTGCGCCATGAAAGTCTTTGAGGATGATGGAGGTGCTATATATGGTAGGAGTGTGTATGGGAAGGTTGGCGTGTACGTACTGTTGCGGATCTTGGGCACCGGCAAGGGGAACTCGGTGAGCCACCAGCCGTTGTTGGCCGGCTCCGGGTCCTCGTCGGCGTCAGCGGTGGAGCGGGCGGGCGCGGTGTGGAGCACAGGCATGGCGGCGGTGGCGAGGCCGATGCCGAGGCGGAGGCAAGCTGAACGCCTGCCCGTGCCCGACGGCTCGGAGGCGTGGCATGCCACCGCTCTTGGCCTCGGCCTCGGTGACGCGCCGGCGCCGCCGCTGGTGGCGGTGGGGGCGGCCTGCCGGAAGCTTGAGAGGTAGGCGCTTGCCATGTGCGCCGTGGGCGTGGGACTGGATGAAAGGCGAGTGGTGTGCGTTACAAAAGGATGAGGAACGGAGCTCTGAAAAGAAATGATTATCCTTTTTTCTTTCAGAGGTTGTATTTTTACCAAAACTCTCGTGAGAAATACCCCACAAACTACACTGATCCTAAGCAGGTTTAGGCAGGATAATAAAAGGAGATGGTTGCCATTTCTTCATCTACCTAAAATTTATGCTCTCTAATTCTACAGTTCATCTGCCTGAAGTAGAGAATGAAGCAAAACATGTTTTAAAGTTGTCCAGTTTATATTCTTTAAAATACTAGTATGAATTTGGTCCTGCATGCCTTCAAGACTTAGTTCAAGGCCTGATATTCTCCATTTGAAAGCATGGGCATCCTACATTTGTTATAGCCGTAACAGTTGTACATCCTTTTTCCCACGCAAAAAATAAAAAGGTTCATCTTGCAGTTTTCTGTTTGAGAAAAGGGTCTCCCACGATTTGTATCAAGAGAAACCATACTACAAAGTTGTGGTGGATGCATGTTTTGGTTGTCTGAACTCAAATGATGCAGCTTCTGCACAAGAAAACATAATGCCGGAGGCAAATACAAATCCAGTCGTCAGACTGAATGTTCATTCCTCTTGCTTAACCAAGTTCACTAGTTCAGGATCAGGGGCAACGCCCTCTTCATCTAAAAATTCAGTTCAGGATTACAGGAGACAAAAGAAAAAATAAATCCTAGGCACGGTGAGATTGAACATGACAGCTGCCATTTATTTACCTACACAATGTTTTAGTACAATATATATCCTCTCTAATTGGCAAAATTAAAATCACCGTCTCTACCCGTGTATTTCTTGTCATCTGTCTGAAGGTGTACTCACGTATTTCTTTTCATGTGTCTGAAGGTGTACTTCTCATCTGTCTCAAGAAGGTGAAACCTGTATTCTGTCAACTGCACCATTTCAACCCCAAACTGAATCAACTAACCGCATTAACGAATACTGCAACTGAAACAACAAACTGGTAAAAAAAACGTGGAGCATCACATTAGCTCCAGATCCTTGGCGCTGGCCGCCAACCTCGCGTTCTCGCGGTCACGCTTGAACACGAAGTACAGCGGAGTGTAGAACAGGCAGCACAGACCAAATGGAACGATCATCATGGTCAACAGCCCTCTTGAGAGCGCGTATGCCCCTGCCACTGACCCGTCCGCCAGGTTCACAGTCTTCGCGTTGTAACCGTAGACCTTCTCGGTCACCATGCCGACAGCGGGAGCAGCCAGCGACGAGAAGGAGCCCTCGAACGCGCGGTCGAACGCGTAGATCATGGTGCGGTGCTTGGGAGGGACCACCTCTGCGAACATCGGGTTGTTCGCGCAGGTGGCGCACCAGCTTATGGTGAGCCCCATCAGGAACAGCGTGACAGCATAGCTGTACCAGTAGTCGACTGACTGCGGGATGACCGTGAGGAGGATCCATGTGAAAGGGATGCCCATGAAGGCACTGAACTGAGCACACATGATGCGACCTGAATCCGGGTAGCGTCTTGACACACGGTCTGCGATTACTCCACCAAGAAATGATCCACTCGCGCAGCCGATGGCAAATAGGCTGTTTAACCCCGCCGAGCTTTTGTTATCGAAACCTACGAGGTTTCAAGACTTTGTTAATGTTTAACTCCAGCAAGGAGTTATTGTCAATTCAAATATTGGAAATATCCGTTGGTTTGTACTCATACCAATTAGCTCGAACCACATTGTGAAGAAAACGACAGCAGTCCATGGCAAGGAGCCGACTATGCCTTGCAAGACGATGATTTGAAATGTCCGCACTTTCATGACAGATCTTGCTGTTATCCATGAATCGTTCCAGATGGACAGTGGAGGGAAAACACTGTTACCAACCAAACGCGACCTGCCATTTACATGAGATAGCAACATTATGCTTTAAGGACAGATACACGTACTGTTACATCGAAAGTTAATGTAGAATCAAGTGGTCATCCGACACATCAGCTTAGAAAAAGAAAACAAGGTACACTTCCTCAAAATTCCAGCTCAGCTGGATAGTTTAGAGCTGAGAGGAAGTTGAATGAGAAAAGTTGCAAGCATAATGTTTGATATGAAAACAGAAGAAAAAAAATGTCAGCACTTGATCACCAACAATACTATACATGCTAATTACGCTTTCATGATTACATTTGTACTATTAAATGTCTATCAAAGAATTTATCTAAAACCTGAAGAAAACCATACCTCTCATTGGTGTCGTCGTCACCAAAGTTTCCTGGAGATGTTTTTCTAGGATCAACGGTGTAAAAGTAAACAAGAAGCCCAATCAACAAGCTTGCAAACGCGACCACAATAAATGCAAACCGCCATCCAGGAAATCCCCAATAATCCCTTCCAGCCATAACTGTTGCCACAATACTTCCTCCTATACCACCTATTGAGCCAATGAGGCTCAACAAACCAAATCCGGCGCCACGGGTGCCCTCTCTGTAGCTATCAGCAATGAAGGACTGAAGTGATGGTATGACAATGGCAAGTCCGATACCATTTACACCTCTCCAGAATGCAACCTGCTGAAAGTACTGGCTGACACCAACGGCCCCTGTTGATAGAGCCCAGAAGACAGTTCCGATTGCAAGAATAGTGGGGCGGTCATACTGAAGAGCAAGGACACCTGCCAAGGGAGATGCTATGGACTTCAGAAAGTTCATAATAAACGTAAGGTACCCCAGATCAGTGGGACCAGCATCGAAGGCGGCACTGACTTCCTTGTAAACAGCGGGGAGGAGATTCTCATCAGCCCGCTCCATTATGGAAGCCAGGTTGATGAGGATAAGGGAGATGGAGAATCCATATATCATCTTTTTTCCCCTGAAAGAAGGCAGAATAATAATTAGGTAAACATTCCATATACCCCGATGGATGCCACATGACACTAACAGAATCCTGGGGATATTTCTGTGACACAACAGAATAGACATGTTTCAATCCACTATTCACATCATCAGTGCAATTAAGCTTAAATTCACTCCTTAAGTCCTTAGCAAGGATCTATAGGGTATCTCACATGTGCACAGTATGTTTCGAGGCGTGGCAGATGGGTGCAAAAGATCTACAATGAAACGGTTGTAATGAATGAATACTGAACTATGGTCCAGAAAGTTAATTGCATTCACACCACATGGGAATTGTAGACATAATACCTAGAAGGGTTCCTGTTTTTCATGCTTCAAACTATACGCATAAAACCGAGGAATACATATGTAAAACAGAACTAGATATATACAAATATATCAGGTGAGTTTGCCACTAACTGCAAGGGTGTGATGAGGCAACATTCAAAGATTTCCACACAAAACTGCAAAGTAGAGTATTTGAACTGCTATACTAGTTGGTTTAAACGAACGAAGTGTCTCCCCTGGAACTGAAACTCAGGACCTAGTACTATTAGTTAACAGGCCAATCCATCAAAAACAAAGCTATATATGCCGATCGCATGGTGCTTGACGTGATCTCACAGGGGTACCAAGAGTCAGCCGTGGTGGTGGTTGTCATGAGATCCTCGCTTTCAGGCTACATCAGAATCCGAAAAGGGAAGGCAGTGACAATGGAAGAACAAGAATATCCCTGTTTCACTCAAGGATCTGAGAACCGGATCGACAATGATAACGTTCCTCTGTCTCACTTGAATCTCTAGCATTCTGCAGGTGCAGGGAGCTGAGCGCAGCCTCACAGATACCACTACCAGATTCGTGTGGCTTGCACTTAGTGGAGCAGGCAACCAGACCGCACGGCTAAGGTCAACGGGATCAAGCTTGCGGCTGGCGTCCCTGGATCAGATTCACCCCGGCCATCAATCAAAATGGCATTCCCCAAACGCACATCCGAGTCGCTCCCTCGGGCACCTGAATGCATTGCTCAGATACACATCTCCGCATCTGCTTTCAGCGGATACAGAGCCTGATCCACTAATTAATCCTGCTCCATCCAGCCTCATTCGACCGGGTAACGCATACAATCAGTGAAAAATCCCCTATCTTGGCCTAATTAAGTCGAGATGGGTGTCAAATGAACACCATTCACGCATAGAGCTAGTATATTAACGAAAATTCCCCATTGGCCTGACGAAGCTATCTATGCAGCAGTGCTGGAATCGAAGGGGGAGGAGAGGAGCCACCGCGAGTGGAGCCAGGAGCTTACCTCATGCTGGAGGAGCGGAAGGCCAGAGCCTCGCGCGGCCCGCGCCCTGGTAGGGGTAGGCTGGTAGATCCGCGCTTGGGAGGAGAGCCCTCGGTTTCTTGCTTCGCTCCCCGGGTGTTCTGGCCCGGATTGTGGGTGGAAAATCGGAGCAAGCAACGACTAGCGACGAGGGGTAGGACAGGAAACTGTCGGCGTGCGTGGGCACGGACCAATGGAAGGAGCGGTGACGAGGTGGCCTGCTTCCCGGGTCTTGCGTCCCCGTCACCTCCAGTCTTGGCAGTAATGCCCTTGTCTGTGGGATTGTCTACGCTCGGCATGTCTATAAAGTTTACTTTTCTTTTTCAAAAGAATTAGATGTATTATAAAGATTCATCGGAAGTGCAAAGCACCTCAAACATAATAAAAATTACATCGAGATCCATGGACCACCAAACAACCATTGTTGCCGCCAGAATGAGCCACCGATGCGCCGTTGTCGCCGCTCCCATACCGGAGCCGGCCTGACACTATCGATGACAGCCGGGAAGTTTTCGTGCACGCGCCCCTAAGGACCAGCGCCCTGAAGCCGCAGCCGTCGCCTTTGAATCCTTAAATCGATCTGAAGAACCTGACACCAAATATAGCCGTTGCATACGCAAAGTGAGAAACCATAACCTCGCCGCTCGAAGGAGCTGGCAGGAATCTACGTCGAAGTTATGTCTAATCTGTACCAATAGACGGACTTGAGAAGAATCGGAGCCAAGAAGACTGACTCAAAGCAGAAGTGTCATCATCCGTCCAAACACCGTCCCTGCGAGGACTAAAAACCTACCTATCTACTACCCCTGTAAATCTTTGCAAACGCCGTCCTTACCACTTGTTGTTGTCACAGAACAAAAAGCACCATCGCCTGGATAGGCCTTTGTGAGCCAAATAAGAGGTTTGCCATCGGCAAGGCCATTGTTATGGTTGCGCATCGGCTGGGGGTCATCTGACTGCTCAACAAAACTTGGGATCCATCACATGCTATCAATATCATCGAGGCAGAATACTGAAACCATCACCAGCCTCCAACCTTGTTCTTGGACCTTAGTCTTCCCCTAAATAAAGACAACACCGCACAAGATCAACTGCAGACAGAACAAACACCAGTAGATCGATTGCACCAAGCGAACGATGGAATAAGGCTCCCACGAACCCCTCAAGTTCACCATCTAGGACGGCGTCGGGATGGGGGATTTTTTTCCAAACATAGGCGCCAATGCCATCCAAACGCCAATGTAGGACAAACTAATAGCTGAGGCGAAGGGCCGGAGTTTCCCTGCCCTTCCACCATCGAAGCGACAATCATTGGGAAAAGAACCCACAGCCTCGCCGACAGAGCGAGAAAGGAGCTGGTCGCTTCCTGGTTGACTGTTTTGAAGGAAGAAACGAAGCGATATATCAATTTAGGAGTTGTCAACTGCTCGTGTGTTTTAAAGAAGAAGAAACTTAGGCGTGGATCGCTATCTAACAAACCATAATTGTCTTTTCTCTCGAAGGCCTTCTTCCATGGTGTAGTATCACCAGTCTAACTACATGAACCGGTGCATCGCATTGTTGTTCTTTAACAACTCAGTGATCCCAGAAGTTGACATTGAATTTAGCAAAAATGATACAACACTACAAGAAAGACCTAAATTAAAGTGTAAATTACCTAGAAACCCTCTCATCAGGGCCTAGAATAATACAGATAATACAATTGGGTCCTTCTACAAATGACAACCTCGTCGAAGACGCTAGGGCCACCATCTTCGTCACATGCCTTGCCAAACCGAGGGAAAAGGATGAAGATCCTCGGGATGGAGGTTGCGAGAGCGAACCAGAGACATATATCATGTTGATCTTTAGTCGAGGTCGATGCAATAGAAGAAGAATGAGAAAGCACCTCCAAGACAAAACTACACTACCACTATTTTACTCTGACCATTTGATTACCCAGTCAGGAAAATTTAGAGCATGGAGCATGTTTGGATAGTATATTTATTACTCTATCTGCAACATATTAGATGTCATAAGGTCTTATATTATGGGATGGAGGGAGTAATGGGATTCATGCTCTTAGCACATGATCATGCACAGTTTAACACTAAACAAGCTTAGAGAGTGAGGTGTCCCAGCCGAGGGTTCTCTCACAACGTCATTTCCTAGCCTGGTGGGCCGGGCTGAGGACCCCTAGGTCGGTTCCATCCTGAAACACTTTGGGCGGCCCATGATGGGTTATACGAAGACTTCAGAAGACTTGAAGTACAAGCGAACATACCAAAGCCGTGGAGGATTCTACCTCCATCGATGTAGTCGAATAGGATCTATAGCTATAGGACCCTCAGTATGTCATAAGCCGACAGTCGTCGGGCTTGTCGATAGATAACATACAATCTTTTGTATTCACCTGTACTTTGTACACACACCCATCATAATATACACGAGCAGGAGTAGGGTATTATCTCCATCATATGAGCTTGAACCTGTGTAAAACCTTGCCTCATGTTACCATCAAGCCCGAACACCTAGCTGGATACCCTACCAATGGATCTACCAGATTTAGCTCCAACAATGGTGGCCCATGCAAGTCCCGCTTGGTGAACTCAGGTGCTCGATGGGAGTTCAAACCGGTTCTGGTGTGATTTACCGTCGGTCCGGATGTTCATCTTCGGCATTGCCACTTTCGTCGCCGACTCGACTAGCCACCTCGGCCAGGTCAAGGATTACACTATAGGTCGAATCGTGAGATTCGGCAGCCTGGAGTACTCCGCGGATTCCCGCGAAAAGATGATCCTCAAGGGTTTGGCACCGCATCAAATCCAGGAGCAGTTGAAGCTGGTTCTCCCGGACTCGATGTCAGACCGTATCCAATAGAACTCGATTTTTGTAATAAAAGAATAGTCTTAAGGGGGGCTGCAATCCCTAGGGCCCATTTTGCACTGTTATTTTTCTAAAAATACATACAATATATGTAAACTTATAATTGTATGTTATAAATACAGTAATTTTCAATATAAAAATGAACATTTTGATATAGCACATAAATATTTTATTAAAAGCATGAACATTTTAAACTTATATAAGCATTTATTGAAATATATAAAAATATATATCCTTTCTTAAATCATGAACAATTTTATATACTACACGAATCTTTTTTTTAACTGTGAACACTTTCAAACTTACATAAACATTTATTAAAAAAAAAGCCCGAACACTTTAATATACTACATGAATATATTTTTTAAGTGTGAACAATTTTAAATTTCTATAGTCAATTACTAAAATATATAGAAACATATAAAATTACTTTGATATTTTATTAAATATGCAAAGTATTACTTGAATAGTTTTGTTATTTATAATTTAATTATATACTATTCAAGTAATAATTGTATTTTTAAATTATTACTTGAATAGTAGATACATGTTAAATTAACACATGGTTATTTTTATAATGTGATTAATTTTATTATATATATATTATTTATAACACATTACGTATTATATTTCACTTATATTGTATAGATTAAAATATAGTGCAAAATGGGGTTCATGGACTGCAGCCCACTTAAGACTCAAAGAATATATATCAGATGTATCCACATAAGACATGAAATGCAAGTGGGTTGGGTGGTTAGCACTGGGTTGTCAGGTGGTTAGCACTGGGTTGTCAGATAGACTCATGCGGCTAACTACCATTCACTAGCAGAACGCCCGTGCGTTGCTACGGGCTATTCTCATGTTATCTTCAACACGTGGGCTCAACACAAAAACC